AGGCAGAGGCAATCCCTCGCAGCCGGGAGAGGCCGAGGGGCGACCGGCGGTACTCCGGCAGGAACCAGTTCCGCCAATTCTTCGAGGGCTCCCGGTCAGGGTCAGGTGCGAGACCGGGATCCTCAGGTGGAAGAAGAGAGGAGGGTAAAGCATCGGCATGACGGCCTCAGCCGAGGACCCAGGGCATCTCCCGCTCAACCTCAAAGCGGGAGGGATCGTGGGTTACCGCCTGCTCCCCCACAACAGCAACAACAACAGCAGCCCCGACAACAGCTACAGCTGCAGCAGCAACAACAGCAACAGCAACAGCAGACCCCCCCTCCCGTTCCGCCTCGGGGGGAGGCCGCAGAGTGGAATCCTCGAGCCACTGATCACATGAACAGAGTGATCAGGGTCGATGATTCTATTCTGTCGGATCCTCATGTCGCTAATGCAGTGAGTGAGACACTGCATTTCGAGGCCGACATGGAGGCTCATAGGGGGCGATCAACCAACGTGTTGTTCCGCTCCATGATCCAGAATTCCCTGGTGGTGAGTTTATTCCTGTTTTGATCTCTTCACTCTCGTTTTCTATTTTGTGTTTTTAACACTCTTTTCCTTCCTTTACAGGCTACCCAGCAGATTTCTATCATTGCTGGCCGGTACTACGCGTCCAGGATGGATCTTCAGAGGGCCAAGGATCAGAAGGCAGAAGCGGAAGCTGCCCTTGCTCGGGCAACGGAAGATGTTGCTGCCAGGGATTCCACCCTGGTGGGGCAGGCTGCCCAGATAGAGCAACTCCTCAAGGACGCTGAATCGGCCAAGTCGGGCGCTGAGAAGCTAAGTGCCGCACTTGCCGATGCTGAGAGGAGGATTACTGAGCAAACGCAGCGGCTCTCTGCGGCGGAGGAGAGGGCAGTGGGCTCCGAGGAAAGCTGCCTGGCCCTTACCCAGGAGCTAGATAGGATCAGAGCCGAGGAGCTGAACCGGAAGTCGGAGCAACAACTTCTGGAGGAGTTTGCCGATGACGTGCTCCCCGCCCTTGAAGAAAACAGCAAAGAGTTCTTCAAGAAAGGGTGGGACGAGGCGCTCCAGGCTGCTGGAGTCCCGTCAGACTCCCCTCTCTTCCAAGTGCACAAGTATGTGCCCTCGGCAGAGATGGAGCAGGCAGAAGCACAGGTTGCTGCCGAGGATGAAGCCCCTACACCGATGCAAACCTCGGCTGATGCTCCCGAGACGGTGATAGTGGACTTGTCCGAGGACGCTCCGTCCGACCTTGCCCCTGAACCTCAAGCTGCTCAAACTGTTCCAGCTGTTCCTGCTGACGAAGTTCTTCTCCTGCCCGCTCCAGAAGCTTCCCAACCTTTTATTGCTGATTCGCCCTCGGCCGAAGTTCTGGAGGTGCCTGGAGCCCGATGAAGCTGCTTTTCATTTCCCCTTTTTTGTACCCCTTTTGCTTTCCTTTTGTAGCTTTTGGGGACGCAAAGCCCCTATTTCTTTGGAAATGAATAACTAGTCTTTTCATTTTTCTGTCTTCTTCTGTATACAGTAGTGTTCTGCTTTTCTTTACTTCTGTGTAGAATAAATCATAAGTGTCTTTGAACTGTCTTCGGGGCGTGCTGGCCCGTTCCGGAGGCGAGATCTTGTATCTACTCTGGGGACTTGGGGTGCTTGTGTTTTGTCCTCAGGACCATTTCTTTATGAATGCTTGTTCCAGTTTTTTGCCTCGGGGACAGTAGTCCTTGCACTCTGTCCCCAGGGCCATACCTTGCAGGAGGCTTGCTCCTGTATGTACTTCGGGGACGAGAGTCCTTGAACTCTGTCCCCAGGGCCATACCCTTGCAGGAGGCTTGCTCCTGTATGTACTTCGGGGACGAGAGTCCTTGAACTCTGTCCCCAGGGCCATACCCTTGCAGGAGGCTTGCTCCTGTATGTACTTCGGGGACGAGAGTCCTTGAACTCTGTCCCCAGGGCCATACCCTTGCAGGAGGCTTGCTCCTGTATGTACTTCGGGGACGGGAGTCCTTGAACTCTGTCCCCAGGGTCATACCCTTTGTCTTTTGTTTGGCGAGTTCTTGAGAGAGAGTACGATTAAAAGTGCCTCTACTCGATCAAGGGGGGTAACCCCTCAAACCAGTATGGGTATCAGGTCAGGAGGATCAGCCCCCTTGGCCCGTCAGCTGGCAGAGGTGATTGAAGAGAAATTTGGCGATAGATTACGTCAGCTGGAGAAGGACAATGTAAACGTCCTTAGCCGGCTCGACGAGTTTGCTGCCTCAGGCGGAGGGTCGAGGGATTCATTCCTCTCCCGAGGACTCCCCGTCCATGAGGCGGAGACAAAGGATCTAAGGAACCACCTGGATCACAAAGCAGAGAGCTCCAGGGCCCCGAAGCGACCCAAAGCCGGCGAATGCCATCTTGACAACCATTCCAGGAAAGCAAGGCCATTGGCCCTGGACGACCTCCGGCGAGGTTTATCCAGACGGAGGAAGGGAGATGAATCCGAGGAGGACTCAACCCAATCTACACGACGCCCAGGAAACGAGGGGCTTACCGACGAACCCAGAGACTTCAGGAGGCATCCCGTAAGGGAAGAAGTAGATCTCAGAGCCCGATTAGACTCCAGGAGAAAGGGCAAGACGATCCAGGACGAGGCCGAGGACGAAGTCATGCAAACACCCTTCACGAGGTAAATCAGCGAGATGGACGTCTCAAGAAAGTTCGTCGTGCCACGGTTCAAGACCTATGATGGGCGATCTGATCCCGATGCCCATATCAGACAGTATAAGCAGATGATGTCCCTCTATCATTCGGACCAACGGTTTCTATGCCGGGTATTCCCTATGAGCTTGGGGGACTCCGCGATGAGGTGGTTCGAGGCGCTTCCCCCAAACAGTATTGGGTCCTGGAAAGAATTGACAAGGCAGTTCCTAACCCGATTCATCACGGGGAGTAGGCGCCCAAAGGACATTGGATCACTGCTGACCCTCAGGAGGAGGGAATCCGAGACTCTTCGCCAGTACGCCATCCGATACTGGGAAGAAGTCAATGAGGTCGAGGGATGCTCGGAGGTCATGGCAGCAGCATCATTCCGGCTCGGCTTGGCCAGGGACACGGACCTGTACCGATCCCTGACCAAAAAGACTCCCTCGGATATGGGGGAACTGATAGCCCGAATCAACAAGTACTAGTGGGTACCTCCTCCTTTGAGTGCAAGGGCTTATATGCGAGGGGGGAAGACGACTCTCTTCCGATGTGGGATTGCCTTAGGAAAGGGTCCTATTGGCGAAGAGAGGTAAAGGCTACTGGGGGGTCGCCCACGTGGGTTAACCCAGGTCAAGCCGAAATTCTTAGTGGAGGGTTCTACCCCTTACATAAAGGCGCCTTTATGTAAGGGATGAAACCCTCCACTCAGGATTTCGGCTTGACCTCCGCGCGTTCGGGAGTAGCCTTTACCCCTCTTCCTGAGCCGGAGCCCTGGCCTAGCCTAATGTGGGGAGGGCGCACCGTATCCCACATCGGAAGAGAGTCGTCTTCCCCCCTCGCATATAAGCCCTTGCACTCAAAGGAGGAGGTACCCACTAGGCACCTGATCAGGTACTAGTGGGTACCTCCTCCTTTGAGTGCAAGGGCTTATATGCGAGGGGGGAAGACGACTCTCTTCCGATGTGGGATACGGTGCGCCCTCCCCACATTAGGCTAGGCCAGGGCTCCGGCTCAGGAAGAGGGGTAAAGGCTACTCCCGAACGCGCGGAGGTAAAGCCGAAATCCTGAGTGGAGGGTTTCATCCTTTACAGTTTTAAATGGAGATGATTCGGAGACCCAGGGGTACTTATGTTTGTCGAATACTATAAAGATTCAAGGATTAGATTAAATATGTAATATGCTTTTGTTTTGATTACATTCACACGGTTGAAACACGGTGGATTAAGAGTATGTTGAGTTTGATTCCACTTATCCTATATTCTCTCTCCCTTTTCTTGGAATAATGAGAAATTATTAAGAATAAAACATGCTTTTACACAACCGAATTGATTCAAGTAACTTAAAAGGACAGAACTTCGAATACAAAGCACTATGCTTCTGGTGAGATTACCATGCTCACAAAATTTTTATGGATAAAGCTATATTTATATTTGAATTGTGGAATCTGATAATGATTTAAAATGCTGAGTTGTATACTTAAAGACTAATAAATTCTTCTAGGTGGTGTACCCATTAACAGTTCTTCGATTATAATACATGCTTTTTTGATTCCGTTCTTGAATAGTTGTTCAATTTCTCCCATATGCTTCAGTAAGAGACATAAGGTTGAATCTCTATCCCTTACATATAAACGGTGCCATTATGGTATCGAGTTTGGTAATAAAAATTAGTTGCAACTCAATCGGGTCAAATAATGAATCGAAAAAATCAGTTACATTTCAATCAGAATTAATTTATGACTCAAAATATAAGTGATCCCAAATGTTACGATTGATTCAAATATTTTTAAGATCGATTCCAAATAATCGATTACCTCATTTGATTGATTTGTAATTTTAACAGTTTGAAGAGTTGCTGTTGCTGATTGACACAGTGGCCCTATATATTGGGCTCATAATATTTGGCCCAAACCCAAGGTATAGATTAATATTTCGGCCTAACTGGTACTGGACTGGACTGGGCTGGCCTAAATTTTGCTAACTGAAGGCAAAATCCAACTCTCTTTTAATTAGTAGTAGTAGTAGTAGAAACAAATACCAAACGATATACCTTGGGTCCACAAATATCCTTAGGGCTCGATCGGTCTCTAGTGGGGTCCTAATTTACAAGAAAAGTAAACAAGCCAACAACATTTTTACGGGCTCAATTGGTTTCTAATGGGCCCAACAGAAATGCGGCCCTAACCCTAGGAGATAAAACCCTAGCCCTCTTCCTATAGATAAGCTTCGCCTTCTCTCGACCTCGGTTGTTCTCTCTCGCTGTCCAACCTTCCGCTACTTCTCTCGACATTCTCATTCTCTCTCTGATCTTATACGATGGTATGCGTTACCGGACTCCAGATCTACAAAAGTAAATTCAACGATATATGTCTGCATATAGATCGTCTCTCTCCCTCTCTCGCACTGAATCCGATTTGGTGGTTTAATGCTTGCAGGCACCGAAGAAGGAAAAGGCTCCGCCTCCGTCTTCCAAGCCCGCTAAGTCCGGCGGCGGAAAACAGAAGAAGAAGGTCACTCTCTCTATATATATGTGTGTGTGTGTGTGTGTGTGATAATTATATAGTATGTGTATGTGAGTGATTGATTTTGTTGTTATGGGGATATAATTTGAAAAAACAGAAGTGGAGCAAGGGAAAGCAGAAGGAGAAGGTGAACAACATGGTGCTGTTCGACAAGGCCACCTACGACAAGCTCATCTCGGAGGCACCCAAGTACAAGCTCATCACCCCTTCCATCCTTTCCGACCGTTTGAGGGTATAACAACTAATCCTTCTCTCCTTCATGATTTTCTGTGTTTTGTTCTAATTTCATTTTCGATGGATTTCGATTTACTTTATTGTTTGCTTCTCTATATTTGTTAGTTCGCGCATCTTCTCATGTTAAATAATGGATGTTTTGGTGGTATGAATGGCATTCACTTTGGAAACTCTGACTCGCTTATTTACTCTATGCTTGTTTGTCCGAAGAGTGACTTTGCACACAATGTTCTTGGGTTTCTGTTTATGCTGTTTGTATTTTTGGAATGCTGTTTGAAATATACCATTTAAATGTAATAAATTCCTTATCCTTCGTTGTATGCAATCTAGCATGATTATGTCCTGGACATCCAAGGACATCAATTTTCCTTCTTTCTTGGTTTTGGTGTCTTCGCATATGAATTGCATTTTCCAGCTCCAATTATGTAAGGTTAAATGGAAATCATTCCTGTTTTGCATGCATGATGTCATAGTACACAACTGCACATGATTTCAATGTTTATATGCATTTTGAATTCCCTCTCATTTTGGGTTTCATCTTAAAAATTAGAATCCTTTAGTTCCATATATTCGGTGTTAGTCTATCTGAAGTTCTGAACTGCCTTGTTTTTTCCGCTTTAGTCTTGTTTTTGTATACTTTGGTCTTGCTTGACCATCACAATGTTGATGTGGTCATTGGTTTAGCAATAATTATGTGTTGTTTAAGTTTATATATGATGGGGTACAAGTACAACGAGAAGCTTCACCTAGGTTTTAGGGAATCAATCCTACTGTTATTTCAAGTATAAGATTCATATGGCTTTCTAATTCTTTTGAGCGGTTGCCTGTTGTACACAATGAGATTCTAAAATGTTGATGCTGATCTTATGCATATGTTGTGTACCTTCTGATTTTGTGTGAACTTGCAGATTAATGGGTCACTTGCAAGGAAGGCAATAAGGGAGCTGATGGCCAGAGGCTTGATCAGGATGGTATCAGCGCATTCAAGCCAGCAGATATACACTCGGGCTACTAATACCTAAGTGTCTTATTCCCTTGTCATTAAATAGAACTTGATATGAGTTGGTTATTTAGACTCTTGTTTTGTTTTGAGTTACCGCCAATTTTCTCTGTCGCTGTGCTATGACATAGTTTTCCTGGGTCTTTCTAGATACTGCTGGCTTGAATCTGAATTTGCTGTCATATTTATCTTAGTTAATGGGGATTTTTGGAACCTTTTGAAATTATTGTCCAGTATCCAATATTTTACCACTTCATCTTCCCTGAGATGGAATTCTGGATTTGTTGGTTGGGTTTTCATAATCAATGTTTTCCTATGGCGCCGTAGATCTGGTGGGAGAAAGTTCGTGAAAAATGTATGAAAAGCCGGACTTTCGTTGGTCATTATAGATAGTTGGACAATACCTGGAACACTTTTCCGGTGTTCTTAAACCCCCTTGGCCTTGGGAACTAAAATGTGCAGAGGACTACTCCCATGCCATTCAACAGAGTGGGTACTTGTTGTCTGATGGATCTCACCAAGTTCGTAGGTTACCCGAATGATGCCTTTTTTTCTGTGATTTTACCACTTTTTTGGTTTTTTTTCCCCCAGTGACTTCCCTTTGCTGATGATTAGAATTCTACTGACCCCCACTCCGGAAGAGTTAAGGAAAAGTTAATTAAGAGAGAGGCAGAGAAGGATAACATCGGCTGAACAGAACGCATTCAAAGAGGTAAACCACGACCTCAACCAGACTAACCAGAAATTCACAACGCATTCCATTTCCTTGTGCGAGAGGTCCATTCAATAATACACTTCAAAAAACTAAATTTCATCAAACAATATGTTGCATTACATGTAATTCGAGTGAGGTAGGGGACGAATGAACATGAGCAACGTACATTTTAGTTGAAACAATACTTTGGTGAGTTGAGTATTTTGAATTACATTCAAAGCCTGAAAGCTTTGCCAAGTAGCAGTTCATTGATCAATATACTCTGGCTGATCTCGTTTCCAGACAGCAGAAAGACCCCCCCCCCCCCCCCCCTTGTCTCCTTTTTCTTCTTCTCTGTTCTCCCTCTCTCACTCATACAAATTAATATTGGAAAGAATTGCATGCCATTTGGTAATGGTTGGATTCAGAATTTTGCTCCTTTTCAATTCCCTATATTGTACTTCTTGGAGAGATGTGGCAACACAAATGTGTTCTGATCAAGTAAAATTCAAAGAAAGGGTAGTTCTACTGTTCAAACTTCTGCAATTAAAACTCCCAAATCCCCCACTCCATATCAAATCGCGAGTCACCAACAAAGTGAGCTGAAATTGCCACTCCAAGAAAAAGAAAGAAAGAAAGAAAAGGCATTCCTCTAACACAGGAAATCAAATATGAAAAGAGGGCAGAAAAATTACCAATATGACATTTGGCCTTCCAAACTCCACAAAACGTTTGATGGATGCATGAGCATTTGTCAAAACAATGTTGATCATCAAGAAAACTAGCACCATCTGATGGATTGATTGCCAAGCCTTCATCCCAACTTAAATTGCTTCCAGTAGTGTTCTTTCAGAAACTATTTAGTATTCCATACTGTAAAAGAACCCCTCTTTTGCATCTCACAAGGTTGGAAACCACTCATGGCCTTCCCCATCAGCGCCATTGCCGCAAGGCTCGGAAATTGCTTCTTTTGCAAGTCCTCCAATGCCACTTTCAAACTTCGTGGCTCACAAAGTACCACTGCTTCACCCTTTCTCTGTGGAGTAGCAGCTCTATTATGACGCCACCTCTTAATCCAAGAATGTGAAAGTGTGATATCTCGAACTTTGCTTACCGAGTCTGCAGAAGACGATTCACCGTTCCTTAAGAGTGCTGTATTCTGATCTAGTGCAATCAATTCTTTATTACGACATTTGCCCATCATCAATTCTGAGCTAGTTATGCTACGTTTCATAATTTTGCTGAACTTGTCCACTTTTTTATGAGATGAGGCTTCACCCATATTCGAGCTCTTAGTACCAAGAGCAGAAGGATCTGAAGCACTCAATTTAAGACGCTTAACCCATCTGCTGCTTGGCTCAGGTCTCACAGGACCATCTGGGCAATGATCAGATTTTGAACTACTGCGCTGCTCAGCATGGGAGAGTAGTAGTTCCATGTCCAGACTTTGAGTTCTTGAGGTCCTTTGTTCTGCATTATCAATTGAGCTGGCTGTTTCGGGCAGGGCAGGAAGCTCTAAGTTTATATCAGGTAACATTACAGGTCGGCTGCATCCAACTTCCTCTCTTGCTGAAGCAATTCCAGCTTGTGGGAGCAAATTTGGGTCCACCATCATGCCCTGCCCAATTAGCAAAATGTCATGACTGGTATGTAATGTTTTGAAAATTGTTACATCATGAATCTTAATATGCCATATCATCATCAGATACAGTTTTCATATCATCATCGTAAATTATAAGATCATGGACAATCAATTTAAGCATAATCCAGTGAGCCGTTTCATATAATAACATCCATTACTTTTATAACTGCAGGAGAGCATGGACTAGGTACGCGTTCCTCCGTCACATTCCCTCCCCCTTCCATTAACAGTAGACTCCTCCGCGGTGAGAATATTACAGGAAGTGGGAGTCATAGACAACTGGGCACAGATTTTATTGTTTGAAATTATCATTTCACCTTGGTGCAGAGAAGTGTTAAGAACAAGAAAAAGGGGCAAACTAAGAAGATCACGGCGGAAGAAAATGCCTCCTCGAATGATGGAATTAGACATTAACATCCAAGAAAAAATCAGCACATACACATCTGACAGGATATTCCACAATCAACAGAAATATACTCCCTGCAAACTATTTGCTACCCTAGCCATTTTTGTTTAATAAATGTGCTGTTTGCACGAGCACTTGACACGTAAGTTATTTAGACATCTGGCAATAGCTCTAACAGGATGCCTGGGAGATAAAATAGAGGTGTGTTTCAAAATCAATCGGCGCTGATAAGTAACCTAAAAGCACCAAAATCAAAGCAAGAGTACCTTGTTTGATGGGGAAGAAGTTCCACCTGCAGCAATCAAAAAGAGAAGCAAACTTGTAAGTAGGCCAAATTTGCATGACTATGAATAGATCTTTGGGACTACACGTGACCACAAATACATTAAACATATAAGTGGAATGCAGAACCTTCCCAGTCAACGATGCAAAGAATACATACCAGAAAAATGGTTCCTCTCCTCAAAAACATTTATCTCCATGGAATCTGTTTCAGCTGATGATTCATTCTTCAAATCAACCTCAAAAGCTTTGACATCTTCAAATTTTCCTGTGTCTTCACTATCCATGGAGCTATCTAGAGGTTTAAGCTTTACTCCACGTTGACCATGACCAACAAGGGGAGATAGGCTCTGAAGTTCGCCAACCATATTTCCTTTAAATTGGCTGGATACTCTTGACTCTCTGAAAATCTGATCTCCTTCACACAAGTTCACATCAGTCTTTTTTGTGATCAAGACACTCTGAGTTGTCTGAGAAATTCTGGGAGGACCTCCGGGTAATCCCTCCATGGAATCTACAGTAGTGCATATTCTCATGGTCTCCACATCATGAACAGAATGTGGCATTCTTGGAATCGAGTGGGGGTGAAACGTCTCCAATTTGGTCGTCTGTGAAGGACAGTTCCTACTAGGAACCAACCCAATACTGAAACAATTCTGCATTCTCTGGGACTGTTCTCCAATAAACCCTGGTGAATGCTGGTTGCTGGTAGAGGGATCATTTAGGAATAGGTACGTGTTATTGTGCCTTGGATATGGAGTAGCAGACTTTTTGGAGTTTGGGCAGTTATGGGTTTTTTGCTCACAAACCAAAAGAGCTGAATGGCCGCGATAATTACACTGTTCATGTTCCAAAGTTACCAGGTTATTGTTGAGTAAGTTTCCATTGTTGAGTCTGTCTTCTCGACAGTCATATTCGTATGGAGCAATATGAGATGCTGATCCTGTAGTACCCTTCGTAGTCAAACTCTTCCCCCTATTTCGGCAAAGGTTGAATGGAAAGTGTTGGCTACCTAAACTTTCAGTTCTCATATTTTTTGAACCTCTTGTAAGACAGGCATTCATGGTTTCAAAAGTTTTGGCCTCAGTTTTTCTACCACTGCCAACAGATTTACAAAAGTCAGATGCTACCTCTACTCCTCTAAGTAAATATCGTGGCTTGGTAACATGATCATCTCCCTTGTTTACAAAAGCATGAGATAAATGACTATGCATTTGAGGTGCTGCATTACAGCTTGTTCTCGACCAATGAGCCATCCAAGCTGATTGGTAAGAATGCAGAGATTGCCCAGCTCTCCCATCACTACCGTTATTCGATTGTACACCATGATCAGACATGATGAGTTGAATTATATGACTAATGTTTCTAAGAAATTAGGTTCCCATTAGGGGTCCATGAGAAGCTTCTTCTATTTTCACCTGTAAGAAATTATTAAAAGACTGAAATTAGACAATGAAAGCAAGTCTGATCAGAAACATTTATCATGGTTGAAGAAGGATATAGTCAAAGGTTCAATCTACGCCACTGATTTTTAGAGGTACTCCCAAAAAAAAAAAAAGAGTAGTTGGAGCTCAAGTAAACAAAGAGCTGACATATTAAGCTTGTTGGCAACAAAGAACTAGAAAGGGCTTACAAATTAGAATCTTCCTTATAAAGAAGGTCATGACGGTAATCTTTTCATCCACCAAAAGGTAGCTCACATATTTTTTGATTTCTAAACTACTTCCCACCCACTCCCCCAGAGTCGGCTTTTCTCAAGTATCAAAAGTTTATCCAGAAATTTGGAGCACTTGCAAGTTGCAACTTTCTCAGAACAGAAACACCTTGCAATTCTGCGAGATTGTGACTGCAATGGTGGTGTTGGTGCAGCAACCTACTAATAATTATTTGCAATTTTATTCTCTTCCATAACAGAAAATAGTTGGCTAGAGTTATGATTCTTTGAGGGACCAAACTTCCTTCAATTTTACCAATAAGTTTTATCTTGTGATTGCAACTGAAACAAAGATTTCGTAAACTACTTGGAAAGGTAATGACAGAAAGCAACTAAATGCAATCATCATAAGCTAAAAGGAAGACCATCAAAGGACATGATGGTGAAATTTTACTGCGATGCTTTGGCCATGTACAAATGACAATCAAATGGATGCACCAATAATACTCAACATCTCCAAGATGAAGGCACTTCAAAGAACATAGATCAAGGGTGTGTCATTCAGCACGAAAGAAACAACATGATGGCCCAACAGAAAAGCGGAAATCCAAGGCAAAGGAGGGAGGAGCACCCTATTGGTTGATTCTAAATTCCTACAACCTTTTACTTTCCACAAATTTGTGACTGGTAAACCCTGTGTTTCATCATCTATGTCCAGTTATTTGTAGATTGGGCTCCAAGTGACGAAAACTTGAATGTTTTTGCGATTTCTTTCTATATCCAATGCTCTAGTGATCAGACCTAAAAGTAAAACACTTCCCTTTTTCTCTGGAATTCTATTAGCAAAGCTCGAAAATACACAAAGAAAGTTAAAAAAATTACATGTTGCCCTTAGAAACTATTTCAAGAGAAATTGAGATAAAAAATGTCAGCACTGAAGAAACATCAGAAGATTCTATAAATATTTCCAAACTATACCAAAAACTATTGCAATGACCGAAAACATCATGCTCTCAAAATACTAAGGTCTTGTTTGGTTCAGTTCCACAATATCCAAAAAAGTTCTCTGAGTTCCATAAAACTTCAACTTCCTTCATTTTTTTTGCCCTTTTTAACTCCGACAAAAAGGGAAAAACAACTTTGCCTACATGGATCCAAGATTACACTAATTTCAGGTAACATAATTCAATAGAACTAACGACTAAAAGCAGTACCAAACACGCCCATAGTTTATCTCAAGCTCTCAATTTCGATTGCTACGCTACATATAATAAGCTTGAAAACATTATCTCTTAGAGGACAATTAATTAAGTTAAACACAATGCATACATAGATACATGTGTGTGTAATACCTAATCAGAATTGGATTCAACGTACCTTGATGAAGTTCAAGAAAACGAAAAATCTGAAAATCCAGAGAAATTAGTAGCAAATTTGACTGCTCCGTACATATAGATTGAAAGAAGGAATAGAGATCGGAGATTCTGAAACTTGTTCTACAGTATAGAGATGGAGATAAGACGGATGAATTGGCTGTACCTTCTTCTCATATGTCCAAGGCTATGTGTGGCCAGCAGAGGTTAGAGATATTTATACATCAGATTCGTATGTGTTTGTGTATATATACAGAATTAGAGAGAGAGAGAAATCGTAATGAAGAAGATGAAGAAGGAAAAGTAGAAAAGAAACATATGGAAGCCGAGCTCCTTTTGTTTCTTTCCGCAGCCATTCTCTCTTAGCAAGCGGGAAGTGGGTGTGTGAAATAGGGGCCCACAAACTGAGCGGTGCTTTTCGGTGAAGCCTATACATTCTATCTTACCTTTAATTTTTTGGAAAAATTTCAACTACACCCTCTAGTTTATCATATTTTTAAGAACACCCTTTCTATTTTTGAATCTTCAATAACACTCCTTGTCAAATTAAAAATATTAACTAAAATATAATTTTACTAAATTTCTCATGATATGTTTGAGGACAAACTTCATCCACACCCCCTCTAAATAAAACATATCTTCAATGAGACTCTCTCTAAATAAGTATATCTTCAATGAGACCCCCTCTATTTTTTAATTTTTTTACGTATTAAAATTCGATTCAAGTTAATTAAAATTTATTTTTTTACATATTAAAATTTGAGCCAATTAAAAATTATATTTTTTTTACGTATTAAACTTTGGGCTAGTTAAAATTTTATTTGAGCCAATTAAAAATTATTTTTAATCGACTCAAATCAAATTTTCATCAATTCCCATTAAATTTTAATTAGCCCAAATTTTAATAAATAAAAAAATTTAAATTTTAATTGACTCAAATTTTAATAAATCGAATTTTAATTGACACAAATTTTAATAATTAAAAAAATATAAATTTTAATCGACTCAAAAGAAAATTTTAATCGGCACTAACGACTCGGGTACAGTTCAAATCGACTCAAATTTTAATATGTAAAAAATAATTTTTAATAGGCTCGATTTTTTTTAAAAATTTACGAATTAGTAAATAAAAAATTAGTATTTACTAACAATTATTTACTAGAATTGTTATTTACGATTTTTTTTTAATTTTAAAAGCTCGAATTTAATAAATTTTATGTAGAAAAATTATTTGAGGTTTATGTAGGGGCATTTTTGGTATTTTAGATGAATTTTTTTTGTTATAAATGGTAGTTTAATGGTAAGATGTGTTAGTGATATTTAAATTAAACTAGAAAGGGTGTCAGTGATATTTTTGATAATAGAGGGGATGTTCTTGAAGATACAATAAACTACGAGGAGTGTGGGTAAAATTTTTCCTAATTTTTAAATTTGTCTCCGATTTCAAAATAATTTATCAATAACTGGTTTTTTTTTTTCAAATGAGGCTTTTTAGATTATTTCCCACGAAATACTATTGATCATGAATTTTAGAAAATAAAATTATTAAGGGTAAATTACACTCATATCCCCTAGCATTTGACTTTATTACATGGACACTCCTTCATGTTTCAACAATTACATTGAGATCTCAATGATCAGACGAAGTTAACTATCTTAATAAAAAGATTATTTTGCTCTTTTGTTTAACACAAACTCAAACCCAAACCCCCAACCTTCTCCTTAACCTTAATATTGTCTCCTTTGCACCAGCAATCCCATGACTCTCTCTAGGTGAATAACCAACCCGAAAATAATCAATTTTCTCTCTTTCCTTTAGCCTATCTCTATGTGTGTGTATATATATATTCATACATATATATATACATACACACAACAAAGAGAGGAAAACCCCTACCTGAAATTGCAAAAAAATCGACAAAAATTATCAATAGCTCTCCACCACTGTAGCACCCTCCAGTAGCCACCCTCATCCAAAACGTCAACCCACCTAAACAAAGAACATTGGGAGATGAAGAAAGAGAGAGAGAGAGAGAGAAATTGAAAAGATCTAAAGCTTAAAAAATATGAGAAATCAAAAAAATAGCTGTGATTTTTGGGGTTCGATTTTAACAACAGTGGTTGTTGGATTATGTGTCTGATGTGATTTAGAAAGTGGTTGTGGAGACGAAAAAGGAGGTGGAGGTGGTGGGGTTTTACTGGTTTGTGGTGGTGGTGGTGTGTGTTGTGTGTGTGCAGATGAAAATGGAGATAGGGGGTAGGGGTTACTTCGTCACTGGCAATGGTGGTGCTCTATGTATGTGTGTGAAGAGAGAGAGAGGTGGTGGTGGTGGTGGTTTCCTTGGTGTGGAAGTGGTGATGGGTGGTGGGTAATGGTGTTAATGGTGCACTTAGGAGTCAGGATTGATAAATATAATTTACATAAATATGTTGCATATAAACAAAAAATTATAGTATTTAACTAATTTAGATTATGATATTAAATATTTAAGTGAAAAAAATTAGTTTAAATATGAAATATAAAATAGAGAAATGATAAAAGGAGATATGAGATAAAATTTTGGGGTAAGAATAACAAATATTTGAATTTTTAAATTTAGTTTTGAAGGGTATTTTTGATATTTTATAAATTATTATTGATGATATCAATTTTGTCTCTGAACCTTTATAACGTCTGTTAGTTGGAGGGAGTGTGGTTGTTACAAGTTTTAAATGTTCAGGGAGTTATGTGTAATCATTGAAATGTGAAGAGGTGTCTATATAATAAAACTAAATGTCAGGAAGTGTGAGTGTAATTTATCCAATTATTAATAATATATTTTGACCAAACAAGATTACCGATAATCATGACAGATATCTTGCAAATACCGGTAATGCTCAAGGATTGACATACACACTCTTTTCTCTCTAATGTAGTACATGTTCTTACTAACTTGAACACGAGTATACATTTGCCTAATCGTGACAACCATAGTGGAAAGTTTAATATAAAGAATGTGATAATATATATATATATATATATATATATATATATATATATATATATATATATCAACTTTAGTTGTCTAAACCAGAAATATATATGTAGGATAATTTACATTATATATATATATATATATATATATATATATATATATATATATATATATATATAATAATTAATTACTATAAGCCTATGCATAAAGGAAAAAATTACGATATTGAAAAGTAAAATTATTTTTTGTTATTGTGTTGAAGAATAAAAAAAATACTAAAATTTAATAAGTTTTATTTTAACAAGTGATAAGCAAACTCAAAAAATAATAAATAA